GCGAACTAAGATGAATGACATGGAAATGTCATTGCATAAACGCCAAAATGCTATTATCATTTTCCGCGCCATCTATTGGGGAAATGTGGGTATTGCAGGGAAAAGGTATAATGATAATATATATATAAATTATATCATTTGGAAGGCTGGAATAAAAAGCTGAAAGGGCTGCATCCGGCCCCCGGGCCTTAGTTTGCCCATGCAGTTACAGGTGTACCGATTACACATATGTGTTTATGTCTTCTCCGACAGCTAATCGTTTCCTGTAATTGAATTTACAGCAACTAGATCAAACAGCTAATGTGTGTCTAAGGTGTGACCCCCTCCAATTAGACACTAGTCAGCATCGGTTAAAGACAATAATTGTGTTACCAAATCCGAGAGATATGATTTTTTTTTTTTTAAGCTACCTATGACAAAAGAGTGATGATGACTCTGAGCGTGGCTACACCTGGCTGCTGTAAAGTGACCAGCGTTGAGAACAATTCATACGTTACGAAGGCCTCAGACGATAAGTCCAGTGATCATACAATCAATAAAAACGTTAAGTCAATCCTTTTCATTTGCCAGCTTCGATAAACAGACCGGACGACAAGAGGGTCCACTGCGTACATCCATACCAGCGCACATTTGTCACATTGTGAACCCTGTGGCATTATTATAATATATAAGCATTACATTGTCGGTTAAGTCTGAAAATAATTTTGACAATATCATTTGTTTCTGTAATAATTTGCGGGACAAAATACTGTACAGCCGAATGCGATATTGTCACAGGCCTAGTCACAAGTGCACACGTTAAGAACCAAGATCTTTAACATCACTGATGTCCATCTGGTCCACACTCTGTTCTGAAAGTTGTGTAAATCAAGATCTTTAACATCACTGATGTCCATGTGGTCCACACTTGTGTGAATGCTTGATTATATACAGCGTCAATCGTTTCTTAAAATAAGAAAACACTGAATTGTTGGAAGAATTTCAGGAAATTATTTGGTTAAAACGTATATTTATATTTTATATTTTTTTATTCGGTAAATATTTGATATACAATGAATCAGAGGTGGGACCAAGTCCTTGCTTTGCAAGTCACAAGTCTTTGCACTCAAGTCCGAGTCGAGTCTCAAGTCAAGACAGGCAAAGTCCAAGTCAAGACTGAAAAGTGTCAAGTCAAGTCCCAAGTCTTGCGGTTTCTGTTTCGAGTCCTTTTCGAGTCCTTTTAAAGAAAATATAATAATATATTTACACAGATCACTGCCGCTCGTTTTTTGTTGACCACCTTGTCGTTTTTAAATCCGAACAACACAATCTTTGGTATCGTTTTCTCTCGCCCGAGCGTTGTTTGACATGTCTTCCACATCGGTTGTCCCGCAATTTGATTGGCTCGATGCTATCGCGTCAAAACAACGTGGGTCTAATTTGATTGGATGTTGTGCCGAGACGCACACACGTACGCAATGACAGATACACAGCGCTCCTCAATAACTTACTTTATAATCTTCGGGTTTGGGAGAAAGTATCGAGTCTTGTCGAGTCAAAGGGCCCGAGTCCAAGTGAAGTCACGGGTCATTGACGTTAAAGTCCAAGTCGAGTTGCAAGTCTCTTTACATTTGGTCAAGTCGAGTCTAAAGTCATCAAATTGACGACTCGAGTCTGACTCGAGTCCAAGTCGTGAGACTCGAGTCCACACCTCACTCACTCACTCGCTCACAGAGGAACAGGTGCAAATGTCGGCTACTAATAGGATAATAATCATCCACTAGACAGAAGAAGGTGACGTTTATCAATCCGAATCAGCGGGCCATTTTCCCTTAATCACCGCGTCCCCGGCAGCAGTAGTCAAAGACACAGGTGTAGCTGCTCTGTTCCTGTTTTCACTCAACAAAAGCCTCAATACCCTGTTGCCTCATTAGCCGATGATAATTATGGTTTCTTTCAGACTCAGCAGCTGATTGGATGACACGTCTAGCAATACTTTCACTCCGGAGTCCTAGACGAGAGAGAGAGAGAGAGAGAGAGAGAAAAGTAGAGAAGGAAGGAGGTTAGCAATTTAAAGGAAAGCACTTAGGCAGATTGTAGTAAATCTGTAGAAATGATTACAAAAGGCGAACGTCGGCTGTGCGAACGGGAGACTGATCCGCTTTCGCATCCCCACGCTGGAATTCTGAATTCACATCCATTACAAAGAAAACAGCTGACAACCGTCAGAAAGCCATTCTGTTCTCTGACTTCAACAGTGTCTCTCTGTACACTTTCCTGGTGCCGTTACTGCTTCATTCGCTCGACACAGAGCCCGAGAATCACAAGAAGAAAGTCATTCACAGTGTGTCCCGTAGAATCAATCTTTAATCAATTCCTTCATTTCCCCAAAGGGAACTCGCGAGCTACACGTGTCTATGTGTCTATTTATGTATTTATTTACCGACATTTCAGAGTATAAGTCGCTACTTTTTTGGGAAGACCAATTTTTTTTGGATTATTTCAGAGTATAAGTCGCTACTTTTTTTTGGGAAACACCAATTTTTTTTGGGATGTTTAATGTGTGAAAAACAATACAAAAACCTTTTAAAAATAAAAAAAAAAAAAAAAAAAAAAAAAAAATCAAAGAAGTACTCTTTGTGTCTGTGTGTGTGTGTGCGTCTGAATCTCAGTTCTCTGCCAAAACAAACAACCCTAAGGGGGAGAGGAGACATGCTGCACTGACCCCCGCGCACACACACTAACACATATACACACACACACACCCATCCGCCTGAGAGTCTTGACTCCTTTTCCCCCACTTCCTTTCCAGCTGCCTCGCTTCTCTCCCGACTCGCAAATGACATCACGGAACGGTCATATCTGATTGTGTTGTCTACTTTTGTTCGGCATGAGCACAATTCAATTCAAGAGTTCAATGACATTGTTTACAAAATAAAGCAGCGCCGAGGCTCGTGTCTTGCCGGGACAAAATGAGTAAAAAAAAAAAAATCACGCCAACGGCAAACGCTCCTTGGCCGCTGCGACGGTAGCGTAGCTTAAGGAATGTGCGTTGTATATCTTTGTATATCGTGCCGTAACGGATTAAGACATGGCTATCACTTTATTACCGCGGTCTTTACATACAGCTTGAAGATTGTGACGTTAACGTCACTTTAGGTATCATAAAGCAATAAAACTAGGTACAAAGTTATTAGTAAAGTATTATTAGTAAAGTATTATTAGTTAAGTATTAGTAAATTGTTAATAACTAATTCGTTAGTAGAGCCGACTGAACTAGCTTAAAGTAGTCTCCATCCAAGGAGAAGAAAGTGAAACTGGCTGTAAGTATTTTATATTTTATTCTATTTTTTTTTTTTTTTTTCCTTATTCATCTATTCACCTATTATGACGGATTTAGATCTCCAGCTGAAGATCTTGATCTGGTTTTCTGTAGTCTGTGAGGTTTAAACAGTGATTCGAGATGCACTGATTTTAACATCAAATATCTGTTCCAATACTGACTATATGGCTAGACTGGACACTGAAAAATGGGACCAAGCTTTGATACTGACGTCCTATTCAAATTCTATGTATGAGATGCCGGCACGCTACATAGTTAATAAACACGATTTGATCTGTATTGAAAAACAAATTATGTTAACAGCCCATGTACAGTATGTGATTCCACTGGGAATCGCACCCAAGACTGTTCTCTGCTTGCAAGGTACGGCATGCTAACCGCTGCGCTACGGAAAACAATTCCATCACATGTTAGCAGCACAGACGGCATGCCAAAAAAAAAAAAAAAATGACAGAACATAGAGCAACAATATGGACTGGTAAGTGTGGTAATAGCCAGCTACGTGGCGGTATATTCCAAATAAGCAACATGGAGTTCCTTAAAAGAAAAGTCACAACCGAAGAAGCAGTTAGCGGTAGCACTGCGAAGACGGTAAACATTCAACTAACAGCGTGAAAGCATAAAAAAAAATACCAGATATGTTTTTAGAATAATTCTGAATCTGCAACAGTTCCTGCTGTTTTTAGAATAATTCTGAATCTGCAACACTGAGGTTCCGACTTGAAGACTTTGAGCCAAGGGACAATTTGACATCGCAAAAAAAAAAAAAAAGCCTGAACTGTGCAAGACAGTATGCGTTTCCTCTGGTTCTGTCCCATTTTCACATTTGCACAAAACGCGTACACATATAGAATAAAGGAAAACTTAACAACGTAAAACATAATTCATTTTCCCTGACTGAACAAACCCGGATTTTCTGTCTCTTTAAATTTATAACAAAATTCATTTTTACTAAACAAATAAATAAATAAACAACTACGACTGCAAAGACAGGTTTGGGTGAACTACTCTGCAGGCCCAGAACTGATGACACCAGGACAAGAGTAGTACCAAAAACACTAGACCCAGTAACAGTTGGGAAAGGGTTAAATCCAGGGTGGAAAAATTCAATAAGACCAGGACAAAACTGGTGCGACAGATTTACACCTGGACCCTACAAGTCAACTCCAAAAAGTCAAAAGTAAAACAAAGAACTGAGTTGTCAATTCCGGAACGAAACCAGAACCAACTAAAGGTTGGAAGAAAAAAAGATTTTAAAGACAAAACCGGATCAGGATAACAATAGGAACATGACGGAATTAGGACAGATCAAGTGCATGAAGAATGTGAAGAAAGAGAAGAACAAAATCAGACGTGAGGAGATGTCAGAACCGGAATAATGGTTTGATAATCTCCAAAATCAAAATCAAAGCAAATCAAGAAGACAGTATCAATGGCTGTACTGACCCATTCAAACTAAACTGAGTCAGAAACACACCTAGACATCGAGATTCGCGACAGAATCATAACATAATGAGGTCAGTACCAACACCATCATCTAAATGTTCTAAAGAGAACAGCGAGTGATTCTTATTTCAGCTTCTCTTTAGCAGAACCTGAAACAATGGTACGTATTATTCAAACCGACCAATCACAAGCAGCGAAAGGCACAGATAAAAAAAAAAAAAAGTCCACCAACCTTCTTCAGTTGTCCACTCCGGGTCCCTACGAATACAACCGTGTGCTCTCCGTACGTGTATGCCGCCACGGCTCCCATCCCCTCGGTCCGGTCTTCGTAGAGCGGGTTTCCCTCTATCACTCGTAGACCACCCAAGGGCTGGTTCAGAACCAGACCACAAAAGACATCTCCAATCTGCTTAGGCTGTGGACAAAAAAGATAAAAATTGTGATTTTTTTTTTTTTGATTTTTTTTATTATGTTCTATTAATATTATTATTATATATATTATATGGCACGCTGGACATAAGTGTACCACTGCTTGAATAATAACAAGCCTCCAGTCACTAGGTGGCAGCAACACATATAATGGTTTGTACAGATAATGAATATACATGTAATCAGGTTCTTAATAGTATTTCAATTCGTGGGGATGTGGGTCAGAGAGGGGAGGGGGGGGGTTGAAAACATTTCTGTCCCTCGGGGGGGACATGACAGAAAAAAAAATAATAACCACTGACTTAATAATACTTAATGGTATTTCTTTTTTTCTAATAATAAAATAATAATAACTATAGAAACGTCCTGATGATTAAACACTTAAACAGACATTAACTTTAAGGTTCTCCGACTGTAACGTAAATCAAGTCAAAAATGACTCCTTAAACGAAGACTTTAAAGGTTGAACATGTGTTCGGAGCCTGTAATGATGCTGCCCCTCCCTGATCCCCATACACGCACACACGCACAGACACACACACACGCACACCCTGTCATTAGTGGGTTACTGGTCTGGATGATCCAGCTGCAGAAACTGGTGGAAACTCTGCTTTGTTTCCAGTCCTTGTGGGGACATGGTTGATCTGCTGACACTCAGTTCAGGTTTCAGGCAGGATAAATATAGTTTGACTAAAACAGAGAAATATGCTCGAGTCTCTGTGGAAGAGCCCGTGGACAGAGTGGCAGCTTTGACGCAAATTCCGTTTAATTTTCAAACAGTAGGAATTCTCGTGTTTGCACTAATGTGGACATCCACAGAACTACACCCAAGACTTAGTTCTGAAACCCTAAAAAAACAGAGTATAGAAATTAGACTATATATATATATATATATATATATATATGCGATATTACCAGATGTTAGGGTATTTTTATATTGAAAAAAGGCACTTAATAGAGCTTTATAGAACGTGCTTACTTTTATGTGTGAGTTCTATCTATCCATCCATCTATCTATCCATCCATCCATCCATCTATCTATCCATCCATCCATCATCCATCTATCCATCCATCTACCATCTATCCTTCTATCCATCCTTCTATCCTTCTATAGATGGATGGATGGATCTATCCATCCATCCATCCATCTATCCATCCATCCATCTATCTATCTATCATCCATCCATCAACCATCTATCCATCCATCCATCTACCCGTGCATCTATCTATCTTTCTATCATCACAGGCTAAAACCTGTTGGAAAGGTTAGTCCCGGTCCACCTTAACACGGTTGGATTCCTATGACCAATGACACGGGTGTCGGCACTGAAGGACAACCAGCTCTCTTATTTACACCGACATGTCGTGCGGACGAGATGTTTTTGTTTTCACATGTTTTGTGTTGACCCTAAATTGAGCCGATTGACAGCTGAAACAATGGCCCAGATACATTATAAATGCACAGATAGGATGCACAAATATTGAAGGAGACGGAAAACTGATTCCAAAGTTCCACATCTGAATCACTTGCACCAGGGACGCACAATGTCACTGAGTGCCTGTAACTGGTACTAATACACTAATAAAAGGGATCGCAACACACATAACAAATTGGAAATAGACCATAGTCTTTCTATAATCTTGACACGACAATGCAAAATCCCAAAATCACAAGGGTTTAAAACAAGATTGTTTTCACACACACACACACACACACACACGTACACACAAACAACAACAGAGGGTCATTAGCTGCAGCTGACTGGTCAGTTAGTTTGCAACTCGGTTGATTGGTTGCTGCTCGGAGCCAAGCTCAACCTTCCACCTCCAAGTGTCCTGGTGGGTGTCCCTGCCTGGTTACCATGGTGACCAGGGCAGACCAATGCCAGCATGAATTTGGAATATGCTATCCTGTGAACTGTCTGACTGTGTGTGTGTGTTTCTTTTTGGTCTAACGTTCGCACGTTTTGCCACGTCTCTCTATACATGCCTTCTGCGTGCATCTCTACAGTTTTTTTCTGGGGACCATGAGGGCAAATGTTTTTCCGTTTCTCCTGATGTGCCTCACTTACCGTGTGGATGCAGGAGAGCTCCTTGTTCAGTAACCAAGGCAACGACAGGTATCCTTCTCCACGGTAACAGGAGCGGATCCTCTCTCTCATGGCCAGGTTGATGTCATGGAGTGTGAACAGACACAGGACGGTTTCTCGGGGAGGGTTGGAGCGGTTCTTCTGACCCTGAAGACCGAATGTGTTACAAGAATCCATTGTAAGTAAAAAAAAAGAGTTACGAAAGGACATTTGTTTAAAGACAGTTTTGGATTCAGAAAAATGAATTTAAAAAAAAAAGAAAAAAAAAGTGACCTGTGAGAAAACAACGAAAAGGACGTCGTCATCCTCTGACAAACCAAGCGCCTGCGCCAACCTTCGCCCAGGCTTGTGTTTGTATGCCGCCTGGACTAGTCTGTATTCAACCCCGTCTTTGGTGCAGCCAAGAGGAAACTCCACGTACGAGTAGAACTCGGTGTCGTTCGAACACATCCTGACAATCTTGGAGGTGAAAAACTTCTCGCCACCGGCATCCATTTGAGTTAGCTGCGTGTCCAGTTGTAGCGTCAGGAAATAGACGTACGTGCGACTGGCAAAGCCGTAGACGTAGTAAATGTCAAATGCTGGATAGAGGGACAAGGTGTCCGATGGGATTTTGACTTGAGACGACACAAACTCATCCTGGTACAACAGTGAGAACATGTTGACGCTCTCCTCGTCAGCCACCAGCTTCCTGCTCGACAAGGTGGGAAAGTATTCCGACTTTCCATCGATGGCTGCACCAATAAAGAGGTGGCTGCCGCCTTTTAAGGGTTTCTTCCTCTTGGGATCATCCATCCATTCTTCTTCACCAATGATAACACCTGAGGAGCAGCAACAACATGTGTTCACTTGTTAATTATCGTTAATTGACGTTTCTTTGGCAGCCTGATTGGAACGACTATCCGGAAGATGCCTCCAGACATTTAAATGTGGATGCCAACTTTGCAAAAGTGTGAAATTTGAGTAGATCAAGTGTCTACTGTATATCCGATCAAATTTCTGTGTTTTGTGAATTTGAGAATCTCTTTTCACTGTCGTGTCGCACTTGCTGAGTTATTCAGCGACACTCCTCTTGAATTAACGGTGTCGATCTAAAGTTAGAAGTCTTTAAATTTCATCGTATTTGCGATCATGTTGCCAAAAGAATGAAATTTGCCCAAATAGGACATCTATAGGTGCACATGACCTTGTAGTTATTCCCAACCAGTAAACATAGAATTTCCAAACTTCTAAACTTAAAATAAATATCAAGGAGCTGTGATTTTAAATACATATTATTATAGAACTACTGGAATGTAAACCGAAATGGTTTGCAGTTGATTTGTCAAATTTCACCCCGCCCTCTTTGCATCCTCATCTACCTGCCATCCCGTCGGCTTCTTTGGCTCCAGACAAATAGTGTTCTTTGCGATGGTGCGGCTCTCCGAGCTTAAAAAGATCTTCAAGTCTGAGGAACTGACAGACGCCTTGCCAGATTGAGCCACACGCCACCAGGCGGTTTCCTCTGTAGTCCACCAACAAGAGTTTGTTAACGTTGTCCGACATCTCCAATCTGAGGGCAACATTTTTTTTTTTAAAGAGAGTGACACATGAGACAGGTGAAAAGACAAAAGGCATTTTATATGAAACAGATCGGAGAGGGACTGACCTGTGAGCACAGGCTCTGACACTAGGAGGAGGGTAACAGGTGGCATTGTCCTCCACGGGTCCTGTCATGTGACTCCTCAGCTCTGTCAGATTTGAAGACAGCTTAATGATTCTGTTGACGGCGCCAACAAAAACATTACCTGTCCTTCTGTGAACGGTGAGGTGAGTGAGGGAAGTGTCAAACGTCCGGTACACCACCCTGCCCGACAGCACAGAGGGAGGAGGTGGAGCAGTTGGGGCAGACAGGAGAAGGGTAGAGGAGACCAGCAGGAGAAGTAGGGTGATGGAAAGAAAGGGAGGAGAGAAGGAGAACATGATGGAAAAGTGAGGAAAAGGAGGAGGAAATGAGGAGGAGAAGAGCTGCCTGCAGGTGCCGGAGAGTCAACTCAGTGATTCATGACTGTGGAGACACAAAGAAAAAAAAAAAAAAAAAACAACATTCAGTTGTGATTGTACACGTACGTTTTCCTTGGTACTTTCTTGCTTAAGAGGTAGGTATGTAAAGTTATCTTAACCTACCAACAGCATGCTAACTTTTTCGACAATTCTTTACCAACACCATACACCTGCAATGCTATCTACTAGAGATGCACTGATACTAGTAGAATACTTCATTCAATTACGGATTGTACCGTATACCACTACTGCTAGGAATACAGTCACCAGTCCAGTGACCCATTTAACCGATTTTCACTAGCGCACATGTGGCGTTTTGGCCCAGAGGCAAGGCTAGTTCAAATCCTGGTTAGGGCGGTTGGTACCTTAAAGTGGACTCACCACCCACAGGAAGGTTCAGAGGTTGGTACATTGCGTAAATGTGATTTGGGTGGCGGTCATGGAGACTGCTGCCCCCCGCGACCCGGCAGCGGATGAAAATGGATGGATGGATGGACTAGCGCACACCTCAGCAGTGAATACGCCAATGATGCTATTCAGTTTTAACAACAGAGTTTCTTCTGCTTACATCTCAACTATACGCAACAACGCTTTGTCAACTGGAAAGCCTGTTCAAATGATATAAGCCAATGGTATAGGTTATAATAGCAGTTTCAACATAGTGGCAGCCACAAAGAAGTCAATCTGAACGCTAGGTTCATTAACGTTTTCTCAAAGCAGAAGTCTGCTAATTGTTGCTAATTTAAGCCAATAATGTGAGACTGTCGAGCAATGTCACTGAAAGAAGAGGAGAAAAGAAAATGGTCACTGAAAATTACTCAACTTTAACCAATTAACATTAGACATCGCTTTTGAATCGTGGTTTTGAAAACAAACTAATGAAACTGGCCTGGCCAAAAATGCTGGTCCCCTTAACTTGTAACGTGTTTTTACAACCTAGGGAGACAATCATTGCAATCAAACGATTTCTGTAACTGTCAGTGACACTTCTGTCAACTGGTGTTTTGAGCCTGTCCTTATGAGGCTCCAGTTGTCTCGGGTTTGACTGGCGCCTTCTCCAGAAAACCTGATTCACCTGTTAGCCATTTTTTGAGTGTTTATAGCGGTGTGTTTTGGGTCATTGTCCGGTTGGAGGACCCATAACCTGCGAATGAGACCAAGCTTACTGACCCTAAGGAGCACGTTTTGCTCCAGAATCCCTTTGGTAGTCTAGAGATTTCGCTGTACCCTGCACAGATTCAAGACACCCTCTGTTAAACGCAGCGAAGCAGCCCCAGAAACACAATCCAGTCTCCGACATGTTTCGCAGCAGGGACAGTGTTCTTTTGTTGATGCCTCATTCTGTGAACATAAGAGCTGTTGTTCCTTGCCAAGAAGCCACAGTTTTGTCTCATCTGTCCAAATGACATTCTTCCAGAAGCTTTGTGGCTTGTCAAAATGGATGGTGTCTCGTTATTTTTATTATTTGCTTTCAACAGTGGTCTTAGCCTTGGTCATCTCGCATGAACTTTGGCTGGAATTCTGAGTGAAAATCGACTAATAAGCAGGGAGCGGGTAGTGCTTGGTAGCTTTGTTGGCCTAAATTAATGATAAAGAAACATAAAGTCTATTTGCTTTACATTAACTCAGTTTTGACCTAATTATTTTACTCTCAAATTAACCCTTTCACGCATGACGGTCACTACAGTGGACAGCTATTAAAATGTCATTTTCTATGATAAGAATAGGTTTTGATGGCGGTGTCGCATATAAGCCTCGACAGTGGATTCTCAGGCGTCCACTGTCAAGTCTAATGTATCTGACAGCATTTTGCATCACGTGCATCTACGCAATGACACAGCCCATGATTTCCATAAAATATGTAAATATGTCAACTAGTGATAACGGCACAAGAACTGTGTCACAGACACCAACATTTGGGCTATGCGCACGTCCTCACACAAAGCAAGACATGAACATAGGAGCTCAGACTGCGACCGAAACACAAAACCGCTGAAATTCAGGTATCGTGATATTCCTAGTAATGATAAAAAAAAAACAGTATTTAATCATCTTCAATTTCTGTCATTTAGCCCATCCCGCACACTCACACACACATATTTCTGTACGCAAACACGTCTTGGATTACTTTCCTGGCTGCATCAAGGCCGACATTTGATGACAGCAGAACAGCATTTGAAGTACTATGCTGAAGTACGTTGCTGTAAAGTTTGTGTTAACGCCCTACGATGACTCCTAAACGCTTCGCGTCTTTTCAGGCTTTTGTGACTAAGCTCAAACGAAGACGCTGACACAGATGACAGTTACCAGACTTAGTTTTTCTATATATAAAGTATATATTATAAATGGCAGTGTAAACATGTACACCAGGGTCAGCTGTTAGCTTTGCTAGCTCCTTAGCGCTAAGGAGGCCGTCCAATAAGAAACCTGGGGTGTCCCGGGAGATGGGGAGAAGGAGATGGGGGAACCAAGCCGGTGAGTGGCCTATGAGACAACGCCTCCTTAGCGCTAAGGAGGCCGTCCAATGAGATGGGGGAACCAAGCCGGTGAATGGCCTATGAGACAACGTGGACCTGTCTTCACATCTTTTGATATGGTATTCACAGAAACATAAATGTACTCTTCTCTGTACCTTTCTGTTGTGTGGACTTAATAATTAACTAATGGAGATTATGAATAAAGTACTATCGTATCCTATCCCCAAAACAAACAGCTAACGATGCTTCTGGCTTAAATCAGTTCAACAGGTAGACACAATGCTTCACCGTTCTGTTTGTCAGAAGTCCATCTTGAAGGACCTTGTTTACATAGTTCAAAAAAAAAAAAAACATAAAAAAACACAAGCAATAAATCTTCGTTTGAGAACCTCAACATTTACCATTTGCCGTTATTTCTGGACTATTGCGCCCACCTGAATATAAGGCGCACCTACTTAATTTGAAAAGAAAAATATAATTGAACACATACGTATATAGACCGCACTTCTCTATAAGCCACAGATGTCTACGTTGTAACATGGGATATTTACACCCAAAGATTTGTTTTTTTCACTTTTAATTAAATTAATGCTTTTTTTCCAGTGCCTGTAAAACGGCTAGCTACATGTTAGCTCTTTCCTGCTTCGACGCCCCGACCGTAGCTGGAATGCACAGGAGAGACTTAGTGATCTACTCCAGGTCCGAAGCTAACATTAGCTCCGGGGCTAACTCCGTTCACTTTGTGCTTTTCCGCACATATACTCACACAGACAGACATACGCTACTAGTATAACACACCCTAGCTTACCAAGTCACTGATCACGGTATGCAATTCGTCAGCCCGTAAAAAAGTAGCCGCATCACTGTTTCAGAATCCATAAAGTAGCCGCATCATTGTTTCAGAAGTCGCAGGGTTCAAAGCCTGTGAAAATAGTAGCGGCTTATAGTCCGGAAATTACGGTATTCGTTTGTTACGAACTTAATGACTGAACGGTGATATCAATACCAAGATGTGTACCAGGTGGCTTTTCCTGCTGTTACCTAGTAAAAAACATATAGGACTTGTCCACGTGAACTAGAAACAGGAGTGGAGAGAAGACAGAAAAGAAGATCGACAGAAAGACAGAAGACAGAAAGTAAGGCTTATTTCCCTTCATGTTTTCAATTCATCAGCAGAGGCATACAATTCATCAGTTAACCCTGTGTCTGACTGACACGCGTGCGCGCACACACACACTCACTCACTCTCACACACACACAAAGAGGCAGTGAAAGATCAGCACATTAGTTAATTAGTCTGCTGAGCGGAGGGAAGAAGAAGTCAACAGATGGATCACTGTGTACGTGTGTGTGCGCGCGTGTTTGTGTTATATGCGGGAAGGGGACAGCTGGACAGACAGAAGACGCAGATAGGGTTTCACTAAGTTGACTATGATTTCACAAGTTCGTCCATCAAACCGATGAAAGACAACTGTGTGCATGTGTCCGTGCGCGCGTTTACATCTCCAGCTAATGATTATTTTCATTCCATCCAAATTTCCTGACGAGTGACCACTTAAAAGCGTGGGCCCAATTCTCTTAACGTCCCAGGATTCGTAATTGTTGCGACACATCGAGCTACACGACTGCGATCCTGCTCAAGAACACGGTCTTGTGTTGGAAATGTATGGAAATGATCAAGGCGGATAGAATATGGTTCGAGAAAGGTCATTCCACCAATCAAGACCAAAGTCCAAATATATTTCTGAAAATAGGCACGTATTCCTGGTTTCGGTTCAAGATGTACATGTCCAAAACCCTAAATGTCCCGTGGAAATTACTGGTTTGCAAGAAGAAAAAACAAAATGCTCCGTAAGGAAACATCGAAAACACAGGACGCACTTTTGGTAGCAATAATTGTGAGCACTATCTTCATAGTTTTACATTTCATACACCATTAAAAAAAAACGGTCTTAAATAATGTAGAAGACCAGCCTTCTTGTCAGAGGACTGCAGGTTTGAACCCTGCCCTGGCCAGCTGTTGTGTGTTGTGTGTTCAGCAAGCACCAGATTCCCTTGCTCCTCAGGCATTCATTACAGCGTTTACTGCTCCCCAGGAAACGGTTGATTGGTTGATAGCTAACGTTAGCTCTGGTGTCTGTGCTCGAAGCAACATGTTTTGCATTAAGGTGTGAACCGAAGGCTTGATGTGCTGTGGTAATAAGGGAAAAACTTTCCGTTACACAATTTGCACACAACCCGCGCTCTTATCCATGTACCCATCGTTACGTTTACGTTACTCAAAAACGTCACGCGCATCTTCTTCGTGGGAGGAAAGAAACGTGCTTACAAGTTGGCGCTTATCCATTCGTGTTGAAATAACAACGCCCGTTGTGTTTTCAAAATTATAATCCACTACTTAATAAAAATGATCACAATAAAATCTCAAGTCCTTATAAAAAATATGTCACATCCAGTTCTTACAAATTAAACTGTATTTCGGCAGCTTAATAATTGATATATGTTAGACTCTCCTGATGAAAAAAAG